TTCTTATTCCTTTTAATTGTCGCCGCGGACAATCTGACACGATTCGTCGATGTTATCGGGCGTTTCAGTGGATGAAACAGACGTCGAACAGTCGGTAGTCACACCACGAGAAAAGAAGAAGAAAAGAATACGGATATTTTTCTCTCTCTTTCTAAAAAAGCTCTCGCTCTCGTGGTATATAGGTGACAAACTCTGGAGAGAATTAGTCGCGAGCTTTCGTGGTTGGAGAGAGGCATTCTTCTCGGAACTTTGTCCCGGTGGAAAGTTGGAAGTTGAATCGTTCCGAGAGCAGTGTTCAACGTTTTACGCAGTGGAAAGCGCTGTCAGTTGGACTTGTATTACTGTCTCTGAAAGAGTTATCTCTTCGTGACAATGCTCGTAACATTACCGAGTGAAAATTAGTTCAGTTTCGCTTCTCTATAAACTTCGCTCGTCCGAGGAATCTGAAGAAAGACAAAGGGGATTAATTTGGGGCGGGGTGACGCGCGCGTGCAAAAAGAAACAATATGTTTCATGGAATTCAATGAGAAATAATTCAAATGCACGGCAAAATTTCGAGCAGACTACTAACCAGAAATCTTCACTTTCAGGCGCGATTGAATGGAAGAGAAGGCTGCTCGTTCAACCGTATGAAACGTCCGCACAAAAAGCTTCATTTAAGCTTAAGTTCGATCGAGACGGTGCTGGTGGCGGTGTCCCGGATAAATTTATTTTAAGTGTCCTTCTGATCGTGGTGCTCGATTCACCGTGTTCGCTCAAAGAAGTAATAGCAAAGAGGAACTCGTCGTGCAAGTGTTCTCGGTGAGAATGTGGTAAGAATTCATTTCTTCGTTTCCCTCTTTCTTCCTGGTTCTCTTTATTTTTCAGTGACCCGCGGTGCCATGCCAGAAGTGGTCGAAAGAGAGGGGGGGGACGAAAGAAAGAAAAAGAAAAGGAACGAAAGCTTGAGAAAGCAGAAAGCGTGAGAAGATACGAGGTTGCCGGGCGCATATGAAATGCACCGACAGAAAATAGGAAGAAACATCCGTCACTGTTTTATTTTTGAGGAAGCACGTTTTGAGCCAGATGTTGCTGCAGACTTGCGTTTTATCAGACCTCGAGTCTTAGCTTCTGCAATTCCTCCATTTTCTCGTTGAACTTCCACTTCGGTTTGATCGTGGCCCATCTCTCTGACAAATATGTATAAAGTCTTGCTGAGAAAAGGAAAAAAGTGTTTCTTTGCAGATACGTTGCAAGATCAACGCCAAACCAGACCGAAGTTTTCAAACTGTGGAGACGATAGAAGATAATGGAGGCTTGAAAGATTAAAAAAGAAAGAAAGATATAGAGAATGAAGCGAGGGCACAGAAAGGAGAGCGTAGAGAAAAAGAAAGGGAGGAAGGAACTTCATACCAGCTACATTTGCTCATATCCATTCCAGGATCCATGCAAGAATAATTGATACCCTCATCCCTCTGCTATCCTAATCTTTTCCTTTTGAGCCACCGTACTCGTAAATGCATCGTCCTTTTTAATAAACTTCTAATAACTCGACAACTCGAAGGAGTTGAACCTCATAAAGACAAACAAAGTTGAATCGAGTTTTCGATTTTTTAAAACAAGCTTAGCTACGACGCTTTGAAACAGAGCCGTAGGATATGGCCTGGTGTCATCAACGTTCAACAAGAGTAACGTCTCTGAATCCTTCGCTCGGCAACCTACCTAAGAAACGAAGAATCAATTTCAAAGGCCACTAGTCGGACAGTTAATCTCTTCTCCGGACTCCATAGATCAGATCTAGATAATAACCTGTAAAGTCGGATCTACGAGCCGAATGCTAACCCTTTGTCCTTCGTTCTATCGACTGGCAAGGGTCAATTAAATTTCACCGGGAAATGACAGAAGAGGAGGAGGGGGGAGAGGAAAGGATAAAACAGAGGACGGATCGAGCGCGGATTCGCCGGAAGCGACTTCTTTTTTGGAGGGGATCGCTTTGAGGGAACGACGTGTCGGCGAGCTTTGAGCGTGGAAAACGAAGCTGAGTCTCACGGACAGTAGGCAGAAAGCGAAGAAAATAGAAAACCGGCGTGTCAGCGTGTAACTGTGTTCATGAGCCGGAGTCTCTTTTGGGGTTGACGTCGAAAAGAGTGGAGGGTGGCAGGACCGCGTGGCCTGGATGGGGGCGAAGGGGGTGGCCCTGGCGAAAAGGGCGGAATTGAATTTGTTGTCGGTAACAGGCAGGAGTGGTGATATGGTGGCGCCATTATCAATTTGCAGGGATCAAAGGTGGTGTCACCCGACGCTAATTAGTCCGGTGCAACGCGACGACGGA